GGACTTGGGAATTGTTATAGACAACAAACTATGCAACAATGTGCAATGTCAATCAGCAGTGGCCAAGGCCAGTAAGGTATTGTCATGCATGAAAAAGGGCATTCATTCTCGGGACAAGAATATAATTTTTCCTCTTTATAAATCACTGGTAAGACCCCATATTGAATATGCTGTGCAATTTTGGGCACCTGTTCTAAAGAAGGATATTATGGCACTAGAAAAAGTGCAGAGGCGGGCTACAAAATTAATAAAAGGAATGGAACATATCGGCTATGAAGAAAGGTTAACAAATTTAAACCTATTTAGTTTAGAAAAACGTCGCCTGAGAGGGGATATGATAACATTATACAAATATATTCGGGGCCAATACAAACCATTGTGTGGAAATCTATTCACAAACCGGACTTTACATAGGACACGAGGCCATGCGTTTAGACTGGAAGAAAGAAGATTTCGTCTAAGGCAAAGGAAAGGTTTTTTTTTACTGTAAGAACAATCAGGATGTGGAATTCTCTGCCTGAAGAAGTGGTTTTATCAGAGTCCATACAGATGTTCAAACAGCTACTAGATGCATACTTGCAAAAACAGAATATTCAAGGATATAATCTTTCAATGTAGGGTAATAACTGCTTGATCCAAGGATAAATCTGACTGCCATTCTGGGGTCAAGAAGGAATTTTTTTCCTAGCTTGTTGCAAAATTGTGCTTCAAACTGGGTTTTTTTGCCTTCTTTTGGATCAACAGCAAAAAACAAATGTGAGGAAGGCTGAACTTGATGGACGCAAGTCTCTTTTCAGCTATGTAACTATGTAACTATGTCAATTGCTTGTATCCAAGTGGCATCTAGCCAAGGGATACAAGTATATAAGTTGCATAAAATACATATATACGATCCTATTGTCTTGATCGTCCTTTTCGGATAGTAGGATTCAATGTAAGGTCACATTACATATGTATATATATAGCGCTAAGTGCATAGAATTGACCAACAGGTCTAATACAAACAAGCACAATATAGATAGTATACAGCTATACATTTATATACAGTACATCCATATTCCCATTGAAGGGAGGAAAATCCTAAATCGTCTATACATATTTTTACAGGACACATCGATGGTCCCATTAAGGGACAAAAGGGAGGAGACAAAAATAGGAGAGGTTTGTAAATAAAGTATAGACAATAGTGTAAAATATTACATCAATCATTCATAGTTATGACAGGTTTTCTTAGGGTAAGAACTGCCCATAAAATACGGCTCGCATAGATGCATATATAGATGTACATATATATATATATATTTTGGACGATGGCCGCAGTGGAGGGTTGCTATCAGTTGACGAGTATGAGTTTATCTTCAATCGTCAACCTAGAATAGCAACCTTCTACTGCCTGCCGAAAATCCATAAAAATCTACAAGATCCCCCAGGGCGCCCTATTGTGTCTGGGGTGGACAACCTTACGCAGAATGGTAGTCTGTATGTTGAAAAAATCTTAAGGCCTTTGGTAGAGACTCTGCCATCCTACATAAGAGATACTAAGCATGTCTTGAATGTACTCTCTAATCTTAAATTGTCTTCAAGTGCAAATCTTTGTAGTTTGGACGTTGAATCATTGTATTCATCTATCCCTCATGATAGGGGTTTGGAACATGCAAGATTCTTCCTGAACCAAAAGACATGTAGCGATGATCTCCATACAGGATTTGTGGTACGTCTGTTAGAATTTATCTTATCACACAATTTTTTCCTGTTCAACACCAAGTTCTATCACCAGGTGAGGGGCACTGCGATGGGTACAGCTTGTGCCCCCTCCTACGCAAACCTTCACCTGGGGTGGTGGGAAAAAGATATTTTCTCCTCAGATAGTCTGAAGGACCATCTACCTAAGATCCTATGGTGGGGACGCTATATCGACGACATTTTACTGGTATGGCAAGGGTCCCCACAGGATTTTGCAGATCTGGTGGAATGCCTAAATGAGAACACGGAGAACCTCAAATTCACATCAGAATTTGGGGGACGTTCTATTAATTTTTTAGACATTACGATCTCTATTAATGAGGATGGGACTTTTCAGTCTACTCTGTTCAGGAAACCAACTGCCACAAATTCTTTACTTCACTGGAATAGTTACCATCCAAGACCTCTTAAGGCGGGGATCCCAGTAGGCCAATACCTCCGTCTTCGGAGAAATTGTAGCGATTTAGCGGATTTTAAAATCAAGGCAGACCAACTTCGTCTGTCATTTAAGGAAAAGGGTTACCCAAATCGCTGCCTCAAAAAAGCCTACAAAAGAGCACTTGAAGTAGAAAGGAAGGACCTGCTTAGTGACCATCAGAACATCAAAAACTCGAAAAACGTAGGAGACATTCGGATGATTGCCACATACGACACGGGCTGGTCCGAAGCGAAAAAGTGCCTAAATAGATTCTGGCCGATTCTCTTGAACGATATACATCTAAAAGAGGTCCTAGGTCCATGCGTTCAGATCACGGCCCGAAGGGGACGTAATATTCGTGACCTTCTTGTACCAAGCCATCTATCTATTAAACCACAGCCAAGGGACACATGGTTGGGAAATCCTCCATGTGGTTCCTATGGTTGTGGTAGATGTGTAGCTTGTAAATACATTTCCAAAGAATCAAAAGTTGTTACTGATAGTACCGGTCGAGTCTCGGTTAAGATTAGAAGCTTCTTTAACTGCAACACGAAGGGCCTGGTTTACCTCCTGTCTTGCTCATGCGGACAAAAATATATAGGCAAAACCTTTAGAGCCTTCAAAGAAAGGATAATGGAACATGTCAGGTCCCCTAAGAACCGCCTCGAAACGCCAATTTCAAGACACCTAAAAGAACACCATCGGGGTGACTCCGGTGGTTTGAAGTTCTGTGGTCTTGAATTGGTTAAAAGACATCAGAGGCGGGGGAATTATGATCGCCTATTGAGACAGAGAGAGTCTAGATGGATCTATAGACTCAAGACATTGCAACCCTTGGGTCTAAATGAGGGCTTTTCTTTTGCTCCATTCCTCTGAGCTGCTATGGTGGATATATGTGTCTGTATATATATGTACATCTATATATGCATCTATGCGAGCCGTATTTTATGGGCAGTTCTTACCCTAAGAAAACCTGTCATAACTATGAATGATTGATGTAATATTTTACACTATTGTCTATACTTTATTTACAAACCTCTCCTATTTTTGTCTCCTCCCTTTTGTCCCTTAATGGGACCATCGATGTGTCCTGTAAAAATATGTATAGACGATTTAGGATTTTCCTCCCTTCAATGGGAATATGGATGTACTGTATATAAATGTATAGCTGTATATTATCTATATTGTGCTTGTTTGTATTAGACCTGTTGGTCAATTCTATGCACTTAGCGCTATATATATACATATGTAATGTGACCTTACATTGAATCCTACTATCCTAAAAGGACGATCAAGACAATAGGATCGTATATATGTATTTTATGCAACTTATATACTTGTATCCCTCGGCTGGATGCCACTTGGATACAAGCAATTGACACTTTGTAATATACCCCTCCGATACCGGCAGACTGCGCACGCATGCGCACAGCACGGACCGAGTGCCGGCATCTGACGCATGCGCAGTAGTACCCGGTTCTATCTACGTAATTGAGGGTTTTCCCACGAATGAGTCACTCAAAGGGCGTTGCAAAACTGAGGTACAGCCCATCGGTGATGGGCGGTCTATAGTTTGGCGCCAAATGTGAGTGCTTTTAAGGGAGGGGACGGAGGAGAGGAACTTGCACACTACTCTACCCTTGAGAAAGGCGGATTTTACCGCCGAAACGCGCGTTGGGCTTCTGCTACAACTGTGGGGGGCCAGATTTGGGCGATTTGCCCTATACTGAATTATACTTTCACTACCTTCCCACCTTTATTTTTCGATCTCCTAACTCTATATCTCTCTGTCCTTTCGATTTAACCATTTGTTATTAGACTGGCTGAGGCCAATAGTCATATTTATACCTCACATTAGGACGCTATATTATACTTTATATTCCCAAACCTGATATGCAATAGTGGAGATTTTGTTTGTGTGTTTTTCTAGGACCGTAAGTGTAGATCTCACCTGTTTTGCTAGCACAATTATCTATGCACATTATTGCACTGGTGCCTATTACGAATAGTTTTTCTGCTACTTTTACACTGTTGCTACTTTTGTGGCAACGTAGTATCCAGGCACAGTATATAGTTATGTGCAGCCCAGAGTGACTCTCCAGGTCCTTTTTTATCCATTTGTAACAGTTGAGTGTATTACAGACTTTTATTATTTTTTGACTACATTCAAACTTTATTATTTTTTGTTTAATCTGTTTAATACACAGGAGTTAAGTGCACTCTTTATTGCTCCACAAGGGGTACTAGCTGTGAGTTGTTCTGTCTCCCATGTTTAAGGGATCCTTACTCCTCACCTTCTTTTTGTTTAATTATTGTTATAAGGGTTAGGCCCTTTTTAGTACCCCTGTAATCCATCTTGGTGTATCTTTTTTGCTGAATTTGTCAGCTAAAGGAACACTGTATCTTTATTATAATGTACTTACAAACTTATAGTGGCCAATAGGTTTAACACGCAGGAGATTTTTTTTTAGACTGGGAGTCAGACCAAAAGAGAAACAGGTTTCATTCCCTTAGATCGCCAATAAAGAAGAGATTACACCCAGAAATAAAAGAAAGGGAAGGCTCACCTATATTAGAAATTCCACATAAACAAAAATATGGTATTAATCTTCCGGGCTTGTACTGGCCTGTGGTGCAGCTAAGCACCCTGTCTTAAGTGAATTTAGTGCGGCTCCTTTTCCTATTTTTGCAACTTAATTATGGTGTCTAAAGTGTTCCTTTAACTGTTATAAACCACTGATACAAGATACAGAGCTATGCATAAATAGATAATATACATAGATAATACATAAAAATAAACCACAGATTCATAAACCTGGATTGAAATCTACACAGGTTCATCAGATTTAACCTTTATTAAAAATGTGTTAGTCATTATATAAAAGAATCTTTACAAGCAAAGAGATGATTTTATTACATAAAAAGACAATGAGAATGCCATGTAAAGTATAAAGGAGTATTATATTTTCCACGGTTCAACATATAGTACTGGCAGTGTTTAATTATTACAGTATAGCCCACCATTATCACCTCTGCTAAAAACGTACATATCAAGCCCATTATTTTTTTAAAAGCATCAACAGAAACTGTCAACACTCTCTGCTAGGGATTTTCACATCTTAATTTCCTTTACCGCAAAAACAAACACTGCATTCTCTCCCAATGAGTTCTACTAAAACGTGTTCACATTTCTTGAGCAGATACACACAATTCTGCAGTTGTAAAAAGTTTGCAATGAAATTTTATTAAATGTATAGCATCACTGATTTTCTCAAAACCCTACCAATATTAAGTAGTCTACCGTTTTGACATCTTAACGCCCCATCAAAAGAAATAAAATAAAAGTTTTTGTTTTTTTAGCTTTTGTAACACATACGGAAAAGATCTATTCACCAGACATTTAACCCCTTAAGGACACAACTTGTGAAATAAAAGGGAATCATGACGGAATATTTCCGTCATGTGTCCTTAACGGGTTTAAAAAAAAAAAAAAAAAAGTGAAACATATCATGTTTTGTAAAATGGGGAAAAAAACAACACACCAAGAAAAAAAGGTTCAACTGTCTAATGCATATATTTCATCTATTAGTGTTAAAAGTTTCAAAACAACTTAATTGGTCCCTAATTGGAAACCGTTCAGAACTGGCTCTGACAACCCCGATTTGGTGTAAATTTCTCATATTCTGATTTAGTGTGCTCACATATATTGTGTGTTGTTTTGTAAGGTTCCATTTAGCTGTTTTATAATCTACATATATATATATGTAAAAACTAATTTAGTATCTATAAAGAATAAATTCGTTTTTTTGTTTTTACAGTGTTGCCTATTATAATGTGCAAGCAAGTAGTACAGCTAAGAAGTTTACTAAAAAAATATAATTAACTTTTTCCTAAATTTAGGAGTAATTTATTACTTGCATCTATCATTGTTTGTTATCGTTAGGCCATAGACTCCAAGGAGCGCAACACTATTTCAAAGCTAAAATCTTTAAAACACTGCATGCATAGGAACTGTATGTACCTTGCATGCAACCCCAAATTACAAAGAATAATAGTTTTTTAATTTTTTTTATTTTTTTTAAAGGTTGTGGTAACATTTAGATTTTTACAAATACATTGCATTTTTTTCTGTGGATTTATTTATACTATAAAATCCCAAATTGGTGTTTTGCTAAGTTCCCAAGCAAAGATATGTCCCATATCACTAGGGCCTGCACACGTTTCCCGTGTTTTTCCAAATTAGCTTACAACAGTTACGGTTCTGAATTGAAAGAAAAACATTATAATTTTAAAGTTTGAAATTTTGATGTTTGCCTGATGTTTCACTTTGGGTCATTTGTAGTAATCACCATAGAAGGTAAAATAAACATTATTTTGCATGCTCAAAATTCAAAGATGTGTTTATACATCATATATTTTTACATTACTTTTACTCTTTTTTTTTTCATAATCAGTGACCCAGTGATATAACCTCTAATGGCAGTTTTTTTAAATTTATATTATTTGTTTTGTATAACCTAATACCTTAATGTATGTCTACAGTCATCTTGAGAAACTTGCCAATTATTTTTCCAGCTACTGACATTCTATAATAGGAAGCTGTATACTAGGATAAGCCAAGTTACACTGTTGATATTATATATACCTGTAATATATGTGAAATATCCACCCGCCCAATACATATATAATTTATATAGTTACACAGCTGAAAACAGAAATGCGTCCATCAAGTTCAGCATTCCTCACATCTGTTTTTGATGTTGATGCAAAAGCAGGTAAAAACCCAATTTAAAGCCCTTCCAATTTTAAACATCTGTACAGACTCTGATAAAACCACCGCTTCAGGCAGAGAATTCCACATCCTTATTGTTCTTACTGTAAAAACCCTTTCCTTTGCCTTAGACTAAAATTCCTTTCTCCCAATCTAAATGCGTGACTTGTAAGGACACATTAAGTATATATCTCAAAGTATACACTTATATAATATTTAATAAAAAAATTTTTTAACAAGTTGACTTTGCATACCCTGAATTTTAATAGCAAGTTTGTTACCTTTCTGGTTTACAATGAACCTGTTACATATTAGTTTAATGCCATGTAACACAACACTTACGGAAAACCTTGGCATAGCATAAGCTGAAGAGTGCGAAATTTGGAAGCCCGTTTCACCAACAGTTTTTCTGATGTCTCAATTCTGGGGACACTAGAGAAATGTGCCAGACAGGCACGTATTTAAATATGCTCTCACGGCACAAGAATAACAGGGCATTACAGCCAGTCACAAGCGTTATAGTAGCACTACGTGAATGGGAAGCCAAGCACGCCTTGTTTCCTTACGTCAAGTCACTCGTGACGCAAACTGTCACTGGATCACCAGTTCCATTCTCCCTACTGTCACATCAACATACTTACAAGTAGGGAATAGGTGTTTGCTTAAATGACAGCTGCAGACACATAAAACACTTTTAGCTTGCTTATTTTTCCAACAGGATTATAAAAGTGCAGATTTCAGTACAAATTGGCACTTTTATAATTTGGGGCAGAAGTATCTCCATGGCTATCACTCAGAGAGCTATGTTTTTTTTCCGTCTGCTTTCATTAGTGCCACAGAATAAACAGAGGTAGCAAGTGTGCCGACCTGGAGAGTGTCTGACAGCATAGCAGAGCTGTGATCACCATGGGTGTAGGAACCCCAAAAAATCTGGGGGGGATAACATTTTTACTCGCCGGGTATATTCTTATTCCGTAAACTATGAGTTGTTTATCCCATTGCACAGCACTATGGAATTTGCAGTCGCTATATAAATGATTAAATAATAACTTTAAAGGGTCACTACAGGGAAGGGATTTTACTTACCTGGATACAGCGCCGGGATCCTCCTGATGCTGCGCCCCCTATTTCGTCAAAATAACAAAGTAGGAGGGTGCGAGCTCTTCAGAAGCGTCATTGCTCTCTGGTGCGCATGCGCAGCTTTGCCGCACATGCGCAGATACTTCATAGGGCGGCATTCATGTCTCGACTAGGAAGCACCTCTAGTGGCCATCTGAGTGTCCACTAGAGGTATTCCTCAGCAGTAATGTAAATACTGCCTTTTTATGAAATGGCTGTGCTTACATTAAAAAGCCTGCAAAGACATGCTATAGACACCAGAACTACTACCTTTAGCTGTTGTGGTTCTGGTGACTATAGTGTCCCTTGAATATAGAGAGGAAAAAATAATCATCACAAATGTAAGAAATAAAATGTCTGTATCATTATTCTAAAAATTATTTTAAAAAAATAAAAAAATATGCACATTCCTAGCTTAATTTTTAGCACGACATATGACACAAACATTTTGTACTTTGCAGATTACTTTTATATTTTTTTATACATATACAGATTGTGTAATACTGCCCCTGACGTAGGGTGACCACATTTCCTAACTGCCATTCAGTGACACTTTCAGAAATGCATTCCATACATTTTACTACCTGTCTCTACCCCTTCCATTTATATTAGAACCCCTTTCCATGTAAATTAGAGATTAGTGCCGCGAATAATATGCTAGATTGCCTACTTACAACCAGATGAGGATGATGATGGGCTCTAGCTGCAGTCTGGCTCCACTGGTATGGTGTAGAACAGGCTCTCCGGAGGCTGTTTGTAACTGTGGTCACAAAAATCAATGTTCTGGGAGAACGGGAAGCAGCTCCATTTTTTGGGGGCCCTTTACACAGCTCAAGGTCTGGGTCCCAGGGTCCACCTTAATGTTCCACCAATGAGTTTGTTCACAGGGGGTGGAGTGTGTAGGGGATGTCCTGATATGTGTGTAAGGAATGCATTGTGTGAATCTGTGTTTGTATGTGTAAGGGCTGCAAGGTGTGTTTCTGTGTATGTACGGGATGCAGTGTGTGCGTCTGTAAGGGGTGCATTGAGTGTGTGTACGGGGTGCATTTAGTGTGTGTAAGGAATGCATTGTGTGTTTCTGTGTTGTAAGGTTTGCATGATTGTGCGTTTGTGTGTGTGTGTGTGTGTGATGGATGTCAATCTCTCTCACTCTGTCTAAATATATATACCCCTCCTCCTTGTACTCTCTTTCTGTTCCCTCCTCCCTCATACATTAACCTCTTTCTCCTCCCTCCCTCCCTCCCTCCTTGTCACTCTTTCTCCACCTCCCTTGTCCATCGCCTCCTTTCACTTGTCACCCACTTTCTCCCCCCTCCCATGTCACCTTTTCTCCCCTCCTTGTCACCCGCCGCCACCTCCTTGTCACTCTTTTCTCCCCTCCTTGTCACCGCTTTCTCCCCCCTCCTTGTCACCTTTTGCCATGCACTCGCCCTTTCACTCTTTCTCCCCTCTCCCTCCCTTGTAGCTCTTTCTCCCCACCTCCTCCCGCGCGGGGCTCTTTCTCCCCTCCCTCCTTGTCGCTCTTTCTCCCACCCCCCTCCACTCCCTGTGGCTCTTTCTCCCCCCTCCCTCCCCTTGTCACTCTTTCTCCCCCTCCCTCCCCTTGTCACTTTCTCCCCCTCCCTCCCTCCTTGTCCTCTCTCCTCCCTCCTTATTATATATACCTCCCTCCTTGTCCTCTCTCCCCCCTCCCTCCCTTGTCACTCTCTCCCCCTCCTCCCTCCCTTGTCACTCTCTCCCCTCCCCTCCCGCCACTTGTCACTCTCCCCCCTCCTCTCTCCCCTTGTCCTTTCCATATGGCAAAGCATTCGCTCGCACCCCCCCTCCCTTGTCACTCTTTCCCCCCCCCCCACATCAGTTGTAGCGTGGCAGAGCCCAGTATAGTCCGTGGGTACAGGTAGCTTTTGTTTCCTGTACCCGCAGACCATACAGGGCTCAGCCACGCTACAGAGAGGGAGTGACAGGAGGGAGCGCTGAGTGCTTCCCTCCTGTCAGCCCCTCTCCTCATGCTGCACCCGGGGGCGGTGTGGTCCGCCCTCCTGGACGCACCGCCCGGGCAAAGCTGCAGCCGCCTGAGGCTCTCTACAGAGCGCTCGGGTGGCTGCAGCATGGGGGGTGGGGGGGGGGCGGCGGAGCTGGGGGGGATTTCCCCATAACCTATCCCCCCGCATGATTTGCTGGGGGGGATGTGCCCCTCCCTACCTCCCCCCCCCCCGGTTCCTACGCCCTATAGAAATAAAGCCTTTTTCCATTCTGACAACTTGAGCAGTTGAAAAGTAAGATGGGGGCTTTAAAGTCCCTCTATTGAACACAGGCAGCAGTGATTGTGGTGTTTTAGTTTAAATTTAAGTTTACAATGCATTAAAATCTAATATGTATATAAAAATGGAGAGAAAGGAAGTAGAGAGAATGTATCAGGTTGCTAAATTATAATGGGGGGTTACCCATACACTTAAATTACTAATAAGAAAAGAAAACACATACAAGAATTCCAAAAGGTAAAAGAATGTCTAACAGCATTCACTTTAAGGATCTTGTATATTATCAGCAACCCTAATCAATCATCTCAGAAAAATTGTAAAATATAACTTTTAATAAATAAAGTTAAAATAACTGTAAGAGTAAACTAATATTTAAAAACATAAGAGGTATAACAACAAGAGAAAGTGATAGCTTGACCTTGCTGCCTATATCAATTTGCAACACCAGTGGTACAAGGGTATAGGGGGTATAAGTCTAGAGAAAATAAAATTAATAAATGTAAATATAAATAAGGGGTATAGTAATGATTCTCAGAAGAGTATCCCCCAACTTCCATCACCCTTGCCCACACTGTCAGCACACTCTCATTCCCCTCTGTAATTCAACAGGAGCCGATCAATCTACCCGGCTACCTGACTGAGCATAGTAAAATAATAAAGCCTTGGAAGAGCCGCTAGTCGGCGAAACACGCGTCTGGACTTTTGATAGCATAAGGGTGGAGGAGGTGGACAGGGGACTTAGCTGCAGCCTTTAGATTTATTTTCCTCCGTGTTAGCCACCCAGCTCAATTATTTTACTATGCTCAGTCAGGTAGCCGGGTAGATTGATCGGCTCCTGTTGAATTACAGAGGGGAATGAGAGTGTGCTGACTGTGTGGGCAAGGGTGATGGAAGTTGGGGGATACTCTTCTGAGAATCATTACTATACCCCTTCTTAATATTCATATTTACATTCATTAATTTTATTTTCTCTACACTTATACTCCCTATACCCTTGTACCACTGGTGTTGCAAATTGATATAGGCAGCACGGTCAAGCTATCACTTTCTCTTGTTGTTGTACCTCTTATGTTTTTAAATATTAGTTTACTCTTACAGTTATTTTAACTTTATTTATTAAAAGTTATATTTTACAATTTTTCTGAGATGATTGATTAGGGTTGCTCATAATATACAAGATCCTTAACGTGAATGCTGTTAGACATTCTTTTACCTTTTGGAATTCTTGAAAGTGTTTTCTTTTCTTATTACTAATCTGTATATATGTCCAAAATTGATATGTATATATGCCATTCATGGAAAGACTTAATAAACCTTTTTTTTCTGTTTCAGTGAAAAGCTATTGTTTTGTAGATTGTTCCTATAAGGATTTTTAAATAAAAAAAAAAAAAAGATTTTTGAGGACAGTCTATAATTTTTCCCAATATTTCCCCATTAATTGCTCTGATTTTTTTAAATTATACAACAACAAAATAAGTAAATTTTACTTTACATAAAGCACTGATTACTTTATTTGGGATTCATTAAATCCATAAGGTCTTGCTCAATCCCTTTAGTGTTTAGTTCCTCTAAACTATAGTATCTATGTATAATCTTTTCTTCAGTGACAACAACCACACGCACACCGTGCTGGTCATCTCCAAGCTGGCATCCAATAGCCGAGGTCACAACCATGTCCAGATTTTTGTACAAGCCTCCTGCATTTCTATGGTAGTGTCCAGAGAACACAGCTTTAACACCTGCAAGACATAAATAACATATTATTAAAACAAATACAAAGCTTACCTTAAAGTCTTACTCCTACCTCCATGATCATGTCTGTTTTTACAACTGGCCATGGAGCAAGCATGAAACGCTGGCTATACAGAGTAATCTGCACTTTTGTGCCGGGGGCTAGTTACATCCTTGGCACACGTGACTTGGGCAACCCAGAATTTTGTTCCATACTGCCTGTTAGTCCTGTTAAAAAAAGTAAGTCTGTCATCAGCACTTACTGCGCATTGGCGACAGATGTAATCTCCTTCGTCACTTGCAGGCAATGATGGAGTCTGCAATGTGAAACCCTTTCTCCCTCCCCTACACATATCATTATTAAATTGTGCTCTCCCTCTGTTCCTGTCACTTAGATTACTACATTGAGGACTCCCACTGTGCACCCCTCCGTCTGTGCAGCCCTTTCTCCCCACATATTTTTGGCCCATGAATTTGTAAACAATTATACGCGGTGACGACTGAGAAGGTGTGGAATGGATTGGGGAGAACTTGACTTAGTGCTGGATTTAAAGTAAGTTTTAACCTATTTCTACAGGTTTTTATTTATTAAAACTTTGGGGAACCAAGTGACAAGTATCCAATTGGGCACTTTAAATCCACAAATATAATAATAGAATAAGGCATGGAGTAACTTTTTGGCCATTGTAACCAATTTAAAACTGAGGCAACGTGCTAAATGTGGGAGGGATCAATAGATTTATTTCAATAGTTGCAATGGTAATTCCTCCACATTTAGCAATTTGCCCCAGAATTACACAAAAAAACTGAATCTAAGCCATACTCCAAGACGTGGACCCTGTTCAAACAAGCTTGCAATCTACAAATAACAGGAAATATATGTGCGTGCCTCAAATGAGCAAGAGAAACATAGAAACATAGAAACATAGAATGTGACGGCAGATAAGAACCATTCGGCCCATCTAGTCTGCCCAATTTTCTAAAAACTTTCATTAGTCCCTAGCCTTATCTTATAGTTAGGATAGCCTTATGCCTATCCCATGCATGCTTAAACTCCTTTACTGTGTTAACCTCTACCACTTCAGCTGGAAGGCTATTCCATGCATCCACTACCCTCTCAGTAAAGTAATACTTCCTGATATTATTTTTAAACCTTTGTCCCTCTAATTTAAGACTATGTCCTCTTGTTGTGGTAGTTTTTCTTCTTTTAAATATAGTCTCCTCCTTTACTGTGTTGATTCCCTTTATATATTTAAATGTTTCTATCATATCCCCTGTCTCGTCTTTCCTCCAAGCTATACATGTTAAGATCCTTTTAACCTTTCCTGGTAAGTTTTATCCCGCAATCCATGAACCAGTTTAGTAGCCCTTCTCTGAACCCTCTCTAAGGTATCAATATCCTTCTGAAGATACGGTCTCCAGTACTGTGTACAATACTCCAAGTGAGGTCTCACCAGTGTTCTGTACAATGGCATGAGCACTTCCCTCTTTCTACTGCTAATGCCTCTCCCTATACAACCAAGCATTCTGCTAGCATTTCCTGCTGCTCTATTACATTGTCTGCCTACCTTTAAGTCATCAGAAATAATTACCCCTAAATCCCTTTCCTCATATGTCGAGGTTAGGACTCTATCAAATATTCTGTACTCTGCCCTTGGGTTTTTACGTCACCTAATAACACCACATAGAGGAAAAGCCAAAATTACTCTGGTCCTTAATTTAGTGGAGCACTTAAACTGAGTTAGTTGTTAATTGGCTAATAGTTTCTTTTTTTTCACTAACACATGCTGAAGAAATATCATTAAACAGAGATACAAATGTGTCTACAAATTCATCTGTTTTGCCCCTGGCATCCCTTCATAAAACTTTGGTTGGCCCCTTGTTAATCATTCATTTATGATTACGACATGTTTGTAGATGATTGCCTTGCAAATCAGCCTGGTGCAACAATATCTATCCAGTATTTAAAGAAAATCCATGTTTGTTCATTTTGCAAACCTGACATGTTTTGACCGTTTAATGCACACTGTTGGCTTAGTGTGTCTGCTAGGAGTATAACATGTTTAACTATGGAAAAAAATATTGCATGATTGCTTTCTAGAACACAGTCTATCATTATACAGCTACCCTTGGCAAATATTAAACCTGGACAGGAGGGATTTGATGGGGGAAGGATCGGCTCATGGATGTACCCACATTACTGATATATCTTTATGACCATGCCCATCTCCACCACCTTAGCCATATTTAATAGTACCAATAGCAAACTGAATTGCAGGGCAGATTTCACAAAACAGAACAGGTCCTATCACATCTTTGTGCAAGGACAGGAGGAAAAAAAAACAAGTCTTCGTCAGTGTAATGATCAGCAAATGTGCTTCTACACACTATACACTGTGACACATTATTATATTTTACTCAGAAACTACAAGAAGGGTCATACAGACAGCTGACGCCACAGAGGCAGCAATAAGTGTAAACAAAGTGATTACACTTCTAAATGGTATGAGCAGTGAGACTGCAGACATATGACCTGTACACCAAAGTTACTTCAATAAGCTAAGGTTGTTTTGGTGCTTATAGTAATCCTTTAAAGGAACACTGTAGTGTTTGGAATAAAAAACTGCATTCCTAACACTTTAGTTTTCCCCTGCGACTGCAGAAAATAAAGGGTTAATAGCCCTTTTTTTTAATATCTAATTCTAGCGCTGATGTCCCTCGGCACTGGATCGGGCTCCTCTTCCACGGATGTCACTGAGATTCTTAAACCTAATGCACATGTTCCCCACATGCGCACTAGGCATTCCCCATAAGTAAGAATGTAATCAATGTGTGAGGACGTACAGTATCGGTTCATGGAGTAAAACTGTTAGACAGCCACTAGAGGAGAAGTTAATTCTGAAATATAATTATTGCAGGTTCTTATAAACTGCAATAATTAACATTGCAGGGTTAAGCGGACATAGGCACTGCACAGGGCTGGACTGGGAATGCAAAGCAGCCCTTGAAAAAAAAATGTATGTCAGCCCCATAAGTCTCTGTGCCACGGTAGTGTTTGTGTGTGTGTGTGTGTGTGTGTGTGTGTATATATATATATATATACATATATATATATATATATATATATATTTATAGGGCTGGCATACATTTAGTCTGGAGATGCCGTGTAGAATGTTCTGCTGCCTGCAACATCCTTCAGCATGACCGGTTTGGCAGTGGGTCAGTAATGGTGTGGGGTGGCATTTTTGTGGGGGGCCGCACAGCCCTCCATGTGCTCACCAGAGGTAGCCTGACTGCCATTAGGTACCGAGATGAGATCCTCAGACCCCTTGTGAGACCATATGCTGGTGCGGTTGGCCCTGGGTTCCTCCTAATGCAAGACAATGCTAGACCTCATGTAGCTGGAGTGTGTCAGCAGTTCCTGCAAGACGAAGGCATTGATGCTATGGACTAGCCCGCCCATTCACCAGACCTGAATCCAATTGAGCACATCTGGGACATCATGTCTCGCTCCATCCACCAACGTCATGTTGCACCACAGACTGTCCAGGAGTTGGCAGATGCTTTAGTCCAGGTCTGGGAGGAGATCCCTCAGGAGACCATCCGCCACCTCATCAGGAGCATGCACAGGAGTTGTAGGGAGGTCATACAGGCACGTGGGGGCCACACACACTAATAAGCCTCATTTTGACTTGTTTTAAGGACATTACATCAAAGTTGGATCAGCCTGTAGTGTGTTTTTCCACTTTAATTTTGAGTGTGACTCCAAATCCACACCTCCATGGGTTGAAAAATTTGATTTAAATTTTTGTGTGATTTTGTTGTCAGCACATTCAACTATGTAAAGAACAAAGTATTTCAGAAGAATATTTAATTTATTCAGATCTAGGTTATTTTTGTGTTCCCTTTATTTTTTTGAGCAGTGTATATATATATATATATATATATATATAAATATATATATTTGTGTAAGGGGCAAATAGCCGTTTATGGAGTAGGTTCAAGTAAGAACGTAGGATAGTATAAAAGAGCAAAGTCGGTTGTGGTGTGCTGATACCGACGATACGGTAGGCCTGTAAATAAAGAGGGCAAAAATGAATAACTAAAGATTTAATACAGTCAACAAATATATATACAATTATCCAGACATTTCTTTAAAAGCATTTCTTAATTCTTGTGTAGGTTTTGGTATGTAAGTCGTATATGCGGATGACTTCCAACGCCCGAGTAATTTAATAATATGCATCGGTATGTTAGCGCTGGAAACTGTGGAGGCCGCCCCTAAGTGGAAGGAGTGACCTGAGTAGTGAGAAGGGTTAAAACCTAATATGGTTAACAGGGATCGGATGTATTTCATGAAAGTCGTGGTAGTGAGTACAAAGCCTTCTAGTGAGAATAGGTATAGTGATGGTGGTGACGTGGTAAGTGAAAGGTAGGAATCTAGAGTCGCTACTGGGCACCATTTGTTTTGGGTAGGGAAATAAGTGATCTCCACTGGAGGTGCATGTTGGCTTGTTTTTGACTGGGGTAGTGACAGTATGTAGTGATCCATGTGTTTGCATAGGTGTGTGCGTAGAAGATATCTGTCTGTCTGAATGGTGGTGATAGCAGTGAATTCTCTTGGCCTGAGGAACCCGTAGAATGCTATGTACATGGCAACTTTGATGACTGTGTTGGTGGTAGAGTGAAAAGGTTTGGAGTCTAACAGGTCGGAAAATGACTGGAAAAATGTGTTGTCTATAGGTAATCTCTGCGGAGGACGTGGAGGAACGGATTTCTGAATATCTCTGAGTATGTTTTTTATCTGATAAGATGACATAAAACTATGTGTATTGGGTTATAGTGTTAGCATGTGATGTTGAATGCCTGTCAGATATAATAGATGGTGTTGTAAGATAAGTGTAATTTAAGGTGGCAAAAAGAAGCGAAGGCTATAATAGATGTCATGACAAAAGGTTGGGCTATGTCGTGGTCAGATAGAAATCTTGTGAAAAGTGTGAAGGCTCTGTTGTATGTTTTGTGAGGGTTGGATGATAGTGCTAATTTGGACAGATCCCTGCTATGTTGCATGATTAGTTCTAGTCCATGGTTAGCTGCTGGAACGGAGGGGCGGCTGTGGCTGCTTGTGCTGCTGATGGGAGTGCTTGCCGAAAAGCCTGAAAGTTGA